CCATGATTTGAGGTTCATAATAATATTTCTGGAATAAATAGATATATTGGTCTAGTTCACAAAGATTATATAATTCTAAATTCTACATATTCCATTGTAATATCCCAAAGTTTTGGGAATTTCAGCATTAAATTAGGGACTTATGTGTGAAAGAAATATTGTTTTAGGCTTAATAATAAAATTTTCAAAAGTTGAGGGACTTAAAAGAAAAAGAATGAGATAAGGATCAGCTTCTTTTCTTTTTCTCTTTTTTCTTTCTTTCTTTTCTTCCTCATCAGACCCGCGACTTGCTTTTCTTCTTCTGCTCCCCGAAACCCCCCCAAGCTGCCGATAGTTCCCCTTGAGAAACTCGGCAAAAGCTTGAAATTTCTCCTTCTTTCTTGTTCAACAACAAGATTTAGGGCCTAGAACTCCCTCTAAAGCCAAGGAGTTTTCGGATCTGCTCTACTCTGTGTCCTCCGTCCGCTGCTCTTGCCGGTTTGTGGGTGTGAAATTTTCCAAATTCCTGGTAAGAAGTAGCCATGAATTCATCTTTTTAGCTTTAATTTGGCTTGGGTTACTCTAAGTTCCTCTTGTTTCTTCAATTTTGGGTTAATTCCGTGAGCTTCCCCTGCACTTGCCGCCGGTTGCTGCTGGGTGTGAGTCTCGGTTTTTCCTGGTAAAAATCAGCCATGAATTCATCTTTTCAGCTTTAATTTGGCTTGGGCTTACTTTGAATTGTGTTTTGGTTCTTGAATTTTGGTAGCCCGTGAGCTTCCCCTCCAAATCCCGTCAGCTTCCATGTTCGCTAGACTCGGCTTTTGCTTGCCAAAAAATTCTGGTAAGTTGCCGGCCCTTCCAAGTCCAATTTATCCATGTAGTTGCTACCCCTTGTGTTGTCCGAATTTTGCTAAAATGGGGGAGGAATTCCGGTAGCATTTAGCAGCATTTAAATGTGTTTTTGTGCTTGGTTTATGTAGGAATTTTGTTAATTAGGCTGTTGTGATATTTTGGAGAGAAAATCCCGTGAGATTAGCTATGGTTTTGCCGATTTTTGGAAGTTGCAGTACTGTTTACGATGTGAGCACTGTTCATGGTACTGTTTACGGGTAATGGCCAACAATTAACGGGGATTTAAATGTTTAGTTTGTAATATAAGAACAAATTTGGAGATGTCTGGTCATGTGGAGATTGATAGAAATAGTACCGTGATTAGGGGTAGTGCCAATGATGATTTCACTTTGAATTTGTGGTAGTGTGGTATTAATTCTTGGATATTTTGATTAGGTTCCTGATCGTTCTGTTAGTTTAGCACTGAGATCGAGTCTTCGGTTTATGCGAGTGAGATAAGTAAAATTATGGTAATGCCCTTCGATTTCAAAGCATGTTTTAAATTGTTTTTGAGATGGTGACAAGGTTTAAATTGATTTTAAATTGATTTTATCAGTATCTGAGTGTGATTAAACTGAAATGAAAATTTTGATGATTTTTATGAAAATTATTATTTTTTGGAATTGAGCATGATTGGAATGAAAATGAGAATTTCATTGTTTTTCTGGAGTAGAGCATGCCTACTTGGAATTTATTGAACTGCTCTGATGATTTGAGAATTTTTGTAAATTCTGATTTTTCTATTAAATCCATGCTCACATGGAAATTTTTCGGTTTATTTTTGAAATTGAGATTGATTGTGAATTATGAATTTTTCTGTAAATCCTGCATGGTTTTGTCTCTGATATAGTCATGATTACTGATGCTCGTCAGTGGTAGTTTGCAAACGCTGGCACATGTCGACATGTTTACTGATATGACCGGTTCATTCTGTAATCCTACCAATGGGATAATACATTGGTAATTACTAACGCCTGCTGGTGGAAGTTTGCTAAACATTGGTACTTCTGCAACCCTGCCAATGGGGTTAAACATTGGTTATTACTGATGCCTGTCAGTGGGAGTTGTTAAACACTGGTACCATTACTAACGCCTGTCAATGAGAGTTTGTTAAACACTAGCCATGACTTATAGATGAGACTACTGAATTTTCTACTGCATTAATGGTTTGTCATTGAACATTTTGCTATTGAACTGAATTTGATTCTGCATTAACGGTTTAGCATTGAAAGTTCTGTTATGCTTACATGGTTTATTTGGCATGCTTAAATTTTTACCAGGGGCTATCCATATTTTTACTTACTGAGATATTTTATCTCATAGTTTTCCTTGTCCACCATTTTAAGAAGCGAAATCGAGGATGGGGAAACCACAGAGAGTGACGAGGTAAAAGGTTAGCCATTCTTATGGGATATAAGTTTTAGATTTTATCATCCTTTTGGAAGGTAGATTTTATTTTTGAGATTTTGTGATTTGAATAAGTTTTGAGCTTTATGCATTTGTGGGATCCCACAAATGCACGGCGTCTGCCACGTCCCCGGATCTGGATTCTGGGACGTGACATCCATACTTCTATTCTTCTAATTCTGGCTTCTTCCTTTTCTTGATTTTCTTCTCAATTTTCTCTTAAAAATTCTTTTTTTATAGCAGATTCGAACCTAGTCATTGTGTAGCAATTCGACCCTTTGTCTGTTGCCAGGAGCTAGTGTAATGAAATATGTAAATGTGTAGCCCTTTGCGCATTGCTGGAGGCTAAATGAGGTACTAAATCTGGCCCTTTGTCCATCACTGAGAGCTGTGTAAATATAGCCCATTGTCCATTGATGGAAGCCAAAAGATGAAGCAGTGAATATCGCTGCGAAGAACATGACCATAAAAAATGCCCAATCATGTCGTAAAGATAGATATAGCCATGTTTGACCATGTATATAGAAATAGATGTTGGAACGAGTTACACCTGCAATATTTCCAATGAAGTTGATGAACGTTGCTCTTGGTGATGGTAACTCCGTTGCACTAATCAGTAAAAAATAGAAATTGCATATTTGATGTGGAAAATAGATCGGGTGGGTCCTTACTGATGTAGAGCTGCACAAGTCATTAATTTCAAAGCCATACAAATTCATCCCTCAAGAAAAATTTAAAAATCTAATCAGTTTCTAAATCTAAATATTAATATTTAATAAAATAAATTTTTAAAATTTAAA